TATCTAGCTATGAAGGGAAAGGGAGTCGTATAAGTCATATCTATAATTCATTAATAAAAATTTCCGAGATTTCAACATCTCATATCGTTATTTGATTGCCGTTATTGATTTGTACAAAAAAGGGTCCAATACCTATTTTGGAAATCATCTTGTTATCAAATTTCGACTAACAAATGGGATGAAAGTGAAGCATAGCCAGGGTTATGTCTGAAGGCAGAAGGGCATATCTTAGAAAATGTTTAGTGAGAGTGAAGTAGTATCGTGAAAATGGTACAATACCTATTTTGGAAATAATCTTGTTATCAAATTTCGACTAACAAATCACATGAAAGTGGAGCATAGTCAGAATTATGTCTGAAGGCAGAAGGGCATATCTTAGAAAATATTTAGTGAGAGTAAAGTAGTATCGTACTGGCAGGATTATGTCTAGGGGCAGAGAGGCATATGTTACAAAATATTTAGGTAATGTTTTTGTACTGCATTATCAGTATATTATGTTATCAAGAAGAGTAGATCCATCCTGTGTGCCCTCTCCTGTATGAATCACCGATCTCAGAAATTACCTACATAGTGTCTATATGTTTAGTATAACATCTAACTGATATGAGTGTTACACATTTTATGTATTCAGTTTGTCTGATTTTATAACTTAATTGACATACTTTTATTGTTGGATTTGATTACACTTAGGTGTTAATATTTTTTACACATAATATCTTGTAGCCTTCAATTAGAATGAACTGTTAATTCATATTTTGAAACTACATTTTGGGTTATGGATTTGATAATTTTATAGTTCCCAAAAATCTGATCCATCTGCCGACTGCTATTAGACTTCTGTATTATACTTGAAATCTGAGTTAAGCTACGTGAGGTTGTATGTCTGTTTTGTGGAATATCAGCATTTACAATGCCATGTTATTCAAATGATGATATGACGAATAGTCACAACGTTTTTGCACTCTTTTTGGTCATGAATATGAAGGCTTTTATGCAGATAGTCAAATCACAATTATTAATTTTGCACTTTTTGGATACATCTTAATTGTACAGAAACGTAAAATACATTTAAATTCTGAGTCTTATTACTGAATAATACTGTTGTGATCAGCGTATGAAAAGGTATAGAAAGCCTCGTCACTATGACCAAAGTTTACTCCAAGCATCACTTTAAACATACACTCAGAAAAATATACTCTAACCACATATTAGTAAAATTGACCTGATCATTTTGATAGAGAAATTAGTAAGAAAATCGAGTAAAAATATTTTAATATTTTAGTAGAAATTTGTTTAAATCAATTAAATTATTTTTCTGAGTGTATAGAATTATAAAACTTTTTGTTATATAAAAATATAATTTCGTACTTATATTTTACTAATAATAGAAAAATGATTCATTCATTAGCTTATATATTTTTAATAATTATTTTTTAATAATTAATTGATATTTTCAACAAAATATTTTAAGTCTTAGAAAAGAATGAGGTAATTTTGTTTACTTAAAATATGTAATATATGTAAATATATGTAAATATGTAATATTTAAACAATTTCATTGTATTATATTTTAATGAACTTAAATGCTTGAAGTACTTATATTTCAATGACTAAAGTAACAAGTTGTTAATAGCAACTTAATAGAGAGAAATGCAATTGCAGGTTGAAAGTACTTAGAAAGTAAAACCGATAACAATTGATAAGAATATTTATAAATCATATTCAATTTTTATTTTATTTATAAATGTTTTTTTTTTTTGCACACTTTAGCATTCAAAGTTTGACGATTGAGCACCTGTTATCAGCAAAAAAAAATAAATATGAAAATATAAATAATAATATTTAAAAAAAACTACCACTTTATATACGCAACAGTTAAATGAATTTATTTAAACAAATTCAGACGTCAGCAGAGCGAGCAGAACCGGCAAAAAGTGCTTTCTGAAAGGAAATTAATGCAAAATTCAATATTTTGCTGCTACTGGTGGCTCTGCTTCTGCTGCCGTTGCTGCTACTGATGATGACTTCATTGCAAAGTCTCACTTTTAACGCTGCTACTGCGGCTTTTATTATTTTGTGTTA